GATATTCAAATATTGAGTTAAATATGTTTATTGATGGAATGAAATAAAAAATAAATTATCAATTTATAGACAATTATTAATCGCGAATGAAGTATAATAATTGTGTATAAGGTATTATGCTTCACCTAGTATCCCTTATATATTACAGAAGTTTAAAAAATTTGTCCTACATACTTTAGACTTTGCTAACGTTATTGAAACTATTTCTTCAAGGAATCCAATTATTCACATTTAAAAGTTCTTAAAGATTCTCAATTATTTAATAGATCATCTAACGTTTTTTTTTAAATTCCAATATTTTGAAACTACTAATTATGTAAAGTGTTTAAAATATGTGATTAGGTTACGTAGAAAATTATAATTAAAAAATAAAAAATAACGTAATCAAATATAAATTTTTTTTTTAGTTGACTTATTTATAATTTTGAAATAAAATATTATTACATTTTTTATTAATTTTTTCAAATATATAAGTATGAGAGCGTTTATATAATTAATGTTACATCGTAAAGAAATCCTTACTGAAATCATTAAAAAATATTTTTAAGGGTATTGATCATATCTATAATTTGGGAATTGTTTTTACTGTTTATTTCATCATTATTATATAATTTAATTTTTATAATTGCCTGCTTTTAAATTCGGATTTCCTTTAATTCTATATTTTCTCATAAATTTTATTATACATTTATTTAAATACAATATATCGGTATCTATCAATCGATGCAATAGTCGGAAACTATTGCATATCGGAAAGTCAAAATATTTGGAATATAAATGAAACTTTTTTTTTCTCAGTTAACTATTTTGCATAAATAACTAATGTATTAAAATAATAGTAGTAATCACTGTCTTTTCCTGAATCACAACAATTGAATAATAAGTTTAACAATATCTCATATTATTATAAAAGTCATTTCATAGATGGTTGTTTTCATGCAACTTATATATCTCTATATCTTATAATTATATTTGTATAATTATATCATTTAATAATGAATATTATTCTTACAATTAATTTAATATTTAAACATTATTGGTATCAATCACGTTGTATTAACAAGTTACTTTTCGGTTTTCAATTTTGATCTTTCAATAAATTTATTCATTTAGAATATCGTATATTTAAATCTTCGTACACAAAATATTAACACGCGAGTAAATATGTAGCGAAAAATTTATTTAAAATATGTAACTATATATTTATCTAATTACGGATGAGTTATGATGATTAAGTTACAAACAATATAAGAAGTCAAATACGGAACATTACAGATTGTATAATGTCATAAAATTAATTTAATATAAGATCTACATATAAAATCCAATAATTAATTATAAAATATCGTTTAAGAAACCGAATTAAGCAATACAATAATCCTATCAGAAGAACAAAATGAAGTCACTTATCAATATTTAACTCTCATTTGTACACATTCTTAAGAGTAAAGATAAAAGCCCGAATTTTGGGCGGGTTTTGATTATGTACATTTATTTAATTTTTTATTTATATATAATATATTTATTCTTTTTCTTATACTGATTATCACGTTGATGTTCCTTACCATTACAGTGAAGATAAAGAATGAGAGAAACGTCACTAGCAGATATTTCTTCTCTTTTTTCTTTTTTATCGATGAAGTATAGTACTGTGAACGAAATATTTTTTCATAACAGCGCAACATTTATACGCTTCGCAATAGAGTATACATTTTTTGCTTTATTTTTGTTTGGTATTGCGCGAAATCATGGAAGTTTCTTTTATAATCGCAAAATATTACATCGACACAATAGATTACGTATTATTAGCTCATCAATTTGTTTTTTCTTCCTTTAATTTTTTTGTTAGTTGCTCGAGTTTCGCTTATTACATTTTTTCCGTGTCTTTAATATTTTTTTTATACCATAAATATTATAGTGAGATAAACTGATAGAACTTTATAATTTAAAATTTTAAGCAGCCAACTAAGGTTGCCCTTTCATTTCTTGGTACAGTCCCCGACATATTTCTACAAGAATGATCCAATTCGTAGTATTTTTGTAAAATAATAACAAAATTTGGAAGATCTAGAAGTATCTATAATTCTAGTTCTAGATATTTAATAGTTACATTTGCAATTTTAAAACGTCGATTGAATTATTATGCTCAAGCTCGATAAAGAATCAATAGAATCATGCGTAAGAATGAATACTTCAAGATTGGAAATAAAATTATTATAATGAAAAATCGTAATTGAGAAATTCCGTCTATCAGCACCGAAATCAATCCCAATGGCGAACACTATGCTTTTCTTTAGCACAAATCAGATTTATACCTATATATATTTTCTCAGCTGACGTCGTTTTGACATTCTACTTTGTCGTTATGCTGTTATCACAGTGGTGGAAGTTATTGCACAAACATTGACTTACCCAGAAAATGAGACGAGCAAACATTAAGTGACTGTCGGCTCAAAATCTTATTTTTAAATCAGTTTGATATATGTGCGGACGTGTGTGTGCATTCGTTTGTTTTATGCATCTATGGGTGTTTAGTAAATATTATAGCTTTTTTATTCAGCCTGACATTTGAATACGTTACTATGGCGAAGAGATTATAAGCAATAAGAAACAACGATTATAATCTTGCACGTACCGGAGATTTTCATGTATATATTGATGTATCCATTGCATTTAAAATGCAGAATTACAATTTAGCAAATTATATTGGCTTTTTCGCTAACGATTTCATTGTCTATTTCAATTTAAGAATTCATATAAACTTGGCAAAAATTTTATTTTGATTCTACTCTTGTAGTGCAAAAATATTCAGAATATAGATTATTTTAATATTTCATACAAGAGACTAAAAAAAATTATCTAGATTTAAATAAATGTAATATCCAAAAATGTCAGCATTATCCATATTTGCAATATAAATTGAGGATACAATTTTAAAAAATCGATGCAATATACTTTTCTATAAAAGAAAAAGAGCGCCCGGCAAAAATTATATTAGAAAATCTATTTCATTCGCAATAATTAAAGGATTAAAAATATAGATTAATTTTTATATTTTTTACCTATGATTAATATAAAAGTCAATTTTTTAAATAATCATAATATAAATAATAATAATATAAATTGAATTTTTATCAATTCATAAAATATGTGGATCTATATAATTTGATATAATTTAAAATATTAAAATTAATTTGTATTTATTTGTTATAATATTGATATCAGGAACTTCTATTTAATCTATGATTTAATTTGATCTGGAAGGTTAATATTTACTTACTTAAAATTTTATTTAATTCTTTGTGATTCTGAATTTCAATGTATCAGTATGGATATTTACAAAATGATAATAAAATCACAACAAAATGACATTGATATATTATAGATGGAACAAAATTTTTTAATGAATTTTTAGAAAGTATATTATACCAATTGAAGGTGATTCTAATTAAGGTTCACACAGTGTAAAATTATTAATCAATGCATATAAATTGCCTTATGTATCTAATTAAAATATTAATTTTGTTTATTTTTAAATTAAAGAAATTTTACATACATTTTTTGTATAGTTATGAACATAATGTATATTCGTGAAAATTCAAATATTTTTAATATATTTTTTATAAGATTTTGCTATATGCATAACAGTCTATCTGTCTCACATTCCTTGAAAAATCAACTTCTCGTTCCAGTATATTCATATAAACGCATAAATATAATAACTCTGATAAAAAAATACTACACTCGCTTTTCCTTGCATGTGGATAAAATAAAATTTATATATAAAAAATATATTTATCTCTGTGTATTGTTTTGTATCATTCATCAGGAAATATTGGCAGGATTTAAAATAAGTTTTAAGTTTTGTTACGTACATTATGTATGAGTATGGAATGAAATTTCCCTTGATCTACCGAACATTCTGAAGCCGACTAATGGGAAATATTTGATTTGTAAAACTGTCTACTTTCTATATTAGTTTTTTTTATTGTAACCTACAATCGATCGAGCAGATAATTTTTTTAACAATATCATATTTTTAACAATATCAATCTCTGCGTGTATCATTCAACTTATAACTGATGCTTCCTTTCTTTTTACTTATAGCTTTAAAAATAAAGGTAAAGCATAATTTCAGCTTATAATAGTTTGAGAAAGATAAAGCATAAAGACCAACTTCAGATAGAACACAGTTGAATGGAAAATGCAGAAAATCGTATTAACATTATTGAAGGTCGTGCGAGTTGCTAGGATCAATTGTAAGTTGAAGGAAAAGACAAGCCTCGTACTTACAAGGGGCTTCTATTTTAATAGGCAAATTAGTTTCGTAATATATAAAACATAATGTTATAAAAGAATATACAATAAGGTACAATTTTATGTGTATGATCGAGCGCGTGCACGTGCGTACTTGAATGAGATAACAATTTTGATGTGATTTGATGTATCGTAAGATCCAATTTCGTTAGTGGCCAGATATAAATGTTATCGCCGATAAATCAATTGTTTTCATAAGTTGTCAATCAGATTATTTATATTTAGCTTTTTTAACGATTATAGGTTATCATTTTTATGTAGAATAAATTTTGCGATTAATTATAATGTACATAAATCTACCTTTCAATAATTATATTTATCCTCTTCGTGCAGTAATGCGTTTTACCATTTCGAAGAAATGGTAACCATTTCTTCAATGACAGGAAAAATTATATCAACTTATCTGTACCCTGATTCCAGTTCGCATAATGACCGCTACGATATGTAAAACGGTAGAAGCCATTGGTCCAAACTTTTCTATGTTTTTTGCCAAAAAACCACAGCTTCTCGCACGCGAACTCTGTGCGTAAGTTACGTAGATTATTTTTAGAGTATGCATAAAGAAAAAAAAGAATAAGTAGAAGTAGAAGAAATAGCAGTTGTAGAATAATCATAAGTAGAAAGAAGAAAAACCAGCATTTTCTTGTTATGTTTATAATAATTATGTATGTACATGTAAATATCTAAATCTCCGTCTTGTTTAGACTTGCTCCAGCCTCGGGCGGCGACGATACCCTGGATGTGTCAAATCGAATTTCAGCAAAGCCATTAAACTTGCCCAAAGCTTCTGACTTCTGGCCCCGGCCAATAGCGCCGTTTTTGCCAACCTGGACCGTTGCTGCCGGTGTTGTTCCTGCTGTTGAATAGACGAAGAGACACCTGGAGTGAGCGGGGCATGGTATTGGCGGCGACTGCTCCAGATCCGAATGAACTCGGTTCTCCGATTACTCGTCTTGCAAAATAGTTTTAGAATCTTTGGTGATTCGGGTTCACTCCGCCTGAGGGGCCGATCGCATCTGAGTCCAGATGTTGTTGTTGTTGCTGCTGCTGCGGCGGCGGTTGAGATTGGAGGTTGCTGGCACTGCTGCTGTTCAAGGCCAGTTTCTGCATCTGGCGTATGACGCTCGTCGCGTGGTAAGCTTGCTGCAACCATGAGACAACAGGGAGACATTCCTTGGGCTGATCCAGAACCACCGGCAGATTGGGGGAGGGCATAACATACACACACAAGCAAACACGAGGCGCGATCAGACGGGCTGCGCTATTAATCAACGATACTAACCTTCCACCTCGACTTGGCAAAGTTCTTTTTAAGCTGTTCCGATACCGTACCATGGATATTCTTGTTGCTCGCCGCGTTGCCGGAAATCCTGTAGCACATAGACACAAGTTTCTTTATTTCAAGGATTTAGGCTGATTTTAAACATTTTGCGTTTAACACAAAAGTTTTCATCTGACTTTGGCCGATGATTGTACGAGAAATTATTACGCTGTTCGCTTCTAGGCGCTCGTGAACAATCAAGTATTTCCAGAATCCCAAATAATTAGCTAAATAGCTACTTATATTGTTTCATAAAATACTAATAACTGGAATAATTTTTAGAGTAATTTTTGTTATCATTTTTCCAAATCTAAGTGTACGTTTCTAAACTTGATTATAACTTGCTTATAAGTAATGTTAGCTCGGAAGCTTTCGAATATAAATTATGATATATTTAAATGTTTTACAAACATATGTATACAACATCTATCTGACATATATCTGTCATACATATAAAATTAATTATCATAAAGTAAATAAATCATTTTAATAATTTCATTTTTAATGTAATAATTACTCGTATAACATTCAACACCGTAAAACATTATTCGACAGTCATACAATCAAGATATCAATTATTATCAAATATTTGATATCAAATATATATTTACCTATCGTATAATATAACGATAGAAGCATAATACAAATATAATCTTACATGCATATAAAAAAAGCTATAAATGATATAAATGAAGCTTTGAGAAATTTCAGTCGGAATAAAATGATTACATATGTTTAAGATCGAAGAAAAAATTATTATTTCACTAATAATGAATATAGACATGCAAATGGAATTGATTATAGATTAATTGACTATTGAATATTTATTATCATTATTTATTGAATTGATCAATAACCTGAAATTATGCACGAATCAATATATTAAAATGACATATGTGACTTAAACAATATTTTAGTAAATCCCTGGCTTAAGGTATATGGAGATCGTCGATGATTATGCGCCATTACTTACTGGATGATATTATTCGTTGTTACTTGGATCAATTTTTTGGTATCTTCACTCATCTGTTATTTTATTTATTTTCATTCACATTTAAAACATCCATATTCAATACATATATATTTTGTAGTCTAGTATTCCTGTACCTTAAAATGTACTTATTTTAAACTTATTTTATCCCATAATAGCTTACATTTTTAAATAATATTATTCTTTTCATTTCCCGCTTTATATATTCTATTGATAAGAATATTTCACTTACTTAAATTTCCATACAAAATTAGTTTTGAAAACCCTATATGCATACGTATATATATATATATATATATATATATATATATATATATATATCATTACTTTTATATTCATGAGAAGTAATAGTTATTTTTACTAATTTAAATAGTTACTGATTTTTTTGTTCGATCGTTTACTAATTTATAATAAATAATTAATAAATAATTGTAAAATTTGACTTCTACTATTTAAATTTAAAAATTCGTCATTATCATTAGATTATCTTGCTTTGAAAATTAATTTCCATTATGCATTTCTATAATAATCAATTCATTCCCACGATGGATAGTTACAGATAATTATTTATAAGCGAACAATGCATGCATAAATGTATCCTTTGATAATGAGTAATATTTATTAATTAAGAATATTACATAATCTTTAATTAAAAAAGAAAATGTAATAGCATTTGTCAAAATTTTACAAAAATAACACGGAAATTTATTATGCCTTCAAATAATATAAAATGTACGAATTATTTTCAAACCCGTTCCCACATATTCTTTATTCTAAAAAGTTTCCATAGCCATTGTGAAATATATTGTAATATAAGCAGACATTATCAACGAAGTTCTTCAGGAACATTTTTAAACTTTTTATACCGTATTGAAAATGTATTTAGAATTTACATTAATATCTTGTCATAAAAGTATAAAAACATTTTCAGTACTAATTGTCGCACATAATATTATCAAACAAAATAAAAAAAAAGAAAACAAAAGCAATGGCAAAAAGATACACTTTGTTTCGAACTTAGTTCAGAATGTCCGGAAATCTGCGTAAATAAAACATAAGTTGCCAATCGCGAGATTAGAAGGGCAAACTACGCTTTTCCAAGAGTCACACTCACCAGGGGTGTGCAAGCGCCTGCTTGCAAGTGTAGCGCTTCTCAACATCGAAGCACATGAGTTTGCTGATAAAGTCCTTGGCCGAGTCACTGATGTCGTCCCAGTAAGGTGAATCGAACTCGAATTCACCTACAATAATCGGATTAGCTATTTTCTGCAGCACAGAGTCCCTACTCTTCGCGCTTCTCGTTCGCCCATATTGTGACGTCCACGAAAAATCAATGTTAGTCTTAACTTTTCCGAATAATAAGCTCTCTTTTTATTTAAAAATACTCTTATTAAATGTAATCGAGGCTTCATTTAAATTGAGAGCGAAGTTTATTTCGGGATTCCTACTTTTGATTAACGAAATTATAAAGCCATTTTATAAGTTTCTAAGTGGCTTTAATGGTGATACACTACTTATTCTACTAACAAGCACAACAGACTTTTGCAAATTCCATTTTCCAGAATTCGAAATGACAATATTATCAACTACGTAATTTATCCTCTCCGTAAAATAAAGATCGATTATTTGAATTATATCATTATAAAATACTAAATTGTAGCATTGGATATTGATTCCTTCCGAAACTAAATGAAAAAGAAAAGCTAAAAGGAGCGCGTTACCAATCTTTGATGGATAATTCAACACTTGAATTATTGAAATATTACGTTCAATAATTTGAATGTATAATCTAATCTCCTTACTTAATTGACTGCAGTACTCTCTGTATTACGGCATTATTGCATGCGAGGGCGAGGAATAAATAAGTAAACCAAAGGTAAGTGAATATCGCTTATGGGCAAACCTGTTTATATACCTTTGAGTATCTGGGCGAAGAGGTTGGCGTCATTCTCGTCATAGAATGGCGGGTAGCCGCATAACAAAATGTAGGATATTACTCCTATGCTCCAGACATCGACCGCCTTGCCATAAGGTTTCTGAGCCAATACTTCGGGAGCTGCCAATGAGATATAGTCGTTGCACTTTGAATTATAAAAATATATCACTGCTACTTGCCTTTCGATTTTATTTTTCCTTGCGCGACAGGGTAATTAGCAATGCTAATGAGGAATTGATTACCGCCGGATAAAGTAAGGGAATGGAGGACGGTGCTCACAGACACACTGAATTGACATTTATTAATATTGATATACTCCAGCGTAAAAGGAAATAGCGAATTGGTGATTTGCCGATCTCGGCTGCGTTACAAACGTTATGAAAAATGGAGGTGAAAACAAGAGCCACGAGGCCATGTATCGTTCGAGGCAGGCTATTACAAGATGCATTGCTGTTAATTATCCATTTGATCAACAAATACTGGGAGTTTACAATCTTTTATGAATCATACGAGCATCATTTCTCTCTCGCGCTGATTCGTGTAGATTCGGGTTTCATTTTATTCTGTAATGTCGCCGTAGTCAATTTTTCTTAATTCATTTTCATCTCAATTTGGATTGTCGAATGATTCTTGATTTGGGAATCAGTTAAAATCAGTAGCACGGAAGTCTTAAAATTATTTAGATTTTAATGATAAATTACCATAGAATTAGCATAAATTTCATTTGGCCTTTTGGACAAATTTCAATTCAATGAATACAAATTAATCATTATAAATTTCCTGCATGTGCAGATAGGTATATATATACAGTATTATTTCTAGATATGTTTATTATATATTTCATCCACTCGTATTTTATTAAATTAGAATAACATTTGTTTAAGAAATCTTGTACAAAATTAATAGATAAGTCATATTTGTTGACGGATAATATCATATTAAATTTAATACTTACAGATATTTATTATGTAATGCATTAAATAATAAAAAAAATTGCATTTTGTACTTTTTTAATTAGTAATCAATTATCATATTTAGTTATATTTATTATGATTGTATTTGCTGCAATTTTAGTCTTATCAAATCTGAAAGATCGTAAGATTGCAATCGTTAGTTATTTCATGGATGTCAAAATATAAAATCAATTTTTCTCAGCATAATTAACGAGCGGAGCTTCGACAAGATATTTATAATGAAATTCTAACGGTCCGACATTTAACACTAACAAATTTCCCTTATTAAAAACAAATTGAAACTTATCGGTTAAGCATCACCGAGCTTATAGCTGAAACTAAAAGCCGATAATGGCTACAACACCCGTATCAACCCCCGTTGATATTACATAAGGACACGCTGTCACTCACCAACATATCCGGGAGTACCACAAGCTGTGGCCATGATACCGGAATCCTCCATCTTTGACAGACCGAAGTCGCTAATCATGATTTTACTATCTTCGTCCGGGCTGTAATAGAGTAAATTCTCCGGCTTTAGATCCCTGTGGACGACGCCCTGCTCGTGCATGTAGTCTACTGCATCGAGCACCTGTCGAATTAGGTCGGCAGCGTCCTTCTCAGTGTACGAGCCCTTCTCCACGATGCGATCGAAGAGCTCGCCACCAGTAACTCTGTGAAATGTTAATATTTATTAGTTAGAGCAAGACAAGCAATATGTAGCGGGCAATTCAATTTTGGCCCAGCTTTGAGAGGATGCTCGATTCGCTATGAGTCTATACGATTACAACTTCATGATTCGCGGAAGAGAGACACTAAATTTTATATTACCAGCTTGGACAATAGTATTGCTGAAGCCTGACGTACAGATGAGCTTATGCCATAAGCTTGCAGAACTATATATATATATTTTTTTTTTTTGTGTGTGATTTTATTGTTTATGATGAAAATATAAATACTTTATTAATAATTGCTTGTGGTATTTGCGAAATTATAAAATTGAAATTCAAGCTTTCGAGTTTTTTTTTCGAAAAAGAATCTTTCATATTTTATCTTACTATATTAAATTTGTTCTTAGTTATAAACATCAGATTCTATATAATACATATAAAGATCAATTATGTTATATGATGATTAAACACCAACTATTTTCGATTTAGCAAATATTAAATGAACTTTTAAAAACGAACTATTTAGAGATTATTTTATGAGATAAATATTTCATAAATTTTCTCCGTATTTTACAAAAGTATAAATATATTCACACATTTTAAAGATGTTAAATTAAAGTCATTTAATTTATTTTCACTTTTTTAAAAATTTTCTTTTTTGAATATTACAAAAGCCGGGTTTATAAAATTTACTAGGTAAATAGTAAATTTCAAGATAAGCATAGTCACAATGAAAGAAAAAATAATGATTAAATAATCGTTACGTAATTTTAATAATGCCTGAATTTAAGCCTGTACTTTATAAATATCAACAAAATTTCCAGTATTGAATATATAAACTATATAATAGTTTATACAATATCTACAATTTTTAAAATATGTTACGTATTTTATTTATATTGATAACATTTTTAGCTTTTTCGTAAACTGTCTTAATCATCAAAAATTTTGATTTACAGTATTTGAATTTATTTTTCGGCTTTTTACTGTTAATTGACTTGATAATATTTTGTATTCAAATAACACAATATAATTATAATTATTTACAAAATATGGTTCATAAGTTAATTGATAATTTTTAATTTTTGATAACTAACATCTGTAATATTCATTATTTTTGTCTTATAAAAATCAAAAAAATTTGTATACATAAATAACACTATTTATTGAGGTATTTATAATTTTTTTTAATTATTAATATTAATAAATAAAAATTATGTTTAACATAATTGTTTCAAGTATATAGAAAGATTATTTAGTGACAGTAGAAAATTATTCATCCTTACAATGAAATGCAGATTTTAAAGTTATCAAACTAATTTATATTTATCGACGTAAAATGGTACATAACAATCTTAGTTATTTAATTCCATTCATACTTCATCAAAATATTCAGTATCGATTTTTTAAGACAAAAATCGATATTGAATATATGTTTATTTGCATTTCAAATCATCAATAACTATTTATATTAGATTGACACAAGCGTTTAATTACTTATGTCTATTTGCGTATTATTAGATTTCAATACTTTTTATTTTCGTGTAATTATCTTCAACAAACTAAGAATTACTTGTTCACATAGACAAAATTCTTATTCTATAATAAGATATAAAATACGACCGTGTTTTATTCATCAAAATAATATCAATGAATCAAGAGAATTGAGAAATAAATATGCTGTATCGCATTGTCGTGTTCATTAAAATTGTTGAATTAAGTACTATTTGATGTGTAACCAACGAGCGACGCGCATATAACTCGTGTCGAATTGAAGTATGTCATTGCCACGAATTAGCTCCGCATAAAAGTTTGACGGCGCCGAACGTTTTGTAATAATATTAGTTACTTCTAGTTATAATTACTTTCATTTATTTTATTTCAATTTCTTCTATTCATCATTTACTATTCTTCTCTATCATTTACTCTTCTTTTTATAATTGGACAACGAAACTATTCATAAATATATGTACTTGTATATCTTGATGATAATTTAATTTATTATTCTGCAAGAAATGCTAAAATAAAGGATTTGTGAATATAAAATGAGACGTAATATGCATATAAAATAATTCTGTTTATTAAAAATTTATTTTTTCATCAAAATTGAATTTAAAATTAAAGTCAATTGGATTCGATTTTTGAAATCATATATGAGTATTTAATTAATTTATTCATTTATATCAAATAAAAATGAAAAATAGAAGGTAAAATATTAAAGAATGAAGTCAATAAATAGTTTTCATTTTTGTCAGAATTAATATTTTAATGTTACGTAATTTCCGTATATATATGTAAGATTATTTTTAACATAATGAATTAAATTTATGTTTATGGTTAAAATTGATATAAAATTATATTTATCTATGCTAAATTATTTTTTATAATTATGAACATATTGATTATTTCTAAATATTTACGAAAAATGTGAAATATTTGTAGAGTGTACAAATTTGATTCCTGTTTATCTATAATTGGCTTAAATTATATATGCATATCTATATTAAATCTATATTAATTTATATCACTTAATTTTCAAACATATTCATCATGATATTATGTTATATGATATCATTAAATTTAATTAAAAAATCTATCTTTGTTCTAATATACTCTCATCTAATTCTGACTTATAGTTTTGATTAATAATTTTTTAATCCCCCAAAATAAACAATATGTTTCAAGATCAATAGCCTTATACGTCCAGAATGTCCGTTAAACTATCATTATTTTGAAACTTGAAACACAGTAAACGGTGAAGAGTTTGGAATATATATAGCATATATAATATATTCTAGTATTATCTAGTATTAGAATAGAGTCATATCAGTGTTCGCTTTTAGATCAAAATAAGAATCTAATTATTTATAAATTATCACCTTTTTTAAAGTAGCCATCACATTTCAAAATTATTTATACAAATATAACAAAATATTTCGGTCGTATTTTAATTTAAATTTTTGTAAAGTATCGAATATGTCTGAAGGTTTATATAAAATTTTGTATAAATAATAAATCTTAACAATAAAACATTACTAACAGAAGATATTATATTATTATTAACAATTGTTTTATCAAATGCATATTTTGATTAAGATAAATATTCTTAATCATATAATTAAGGTAATTAGTGTAAGACTAAAAAAATTTGTTGTATTAAATATATATATATCATTTCAAATAAATATTTACTTTGCATGCAATAATAAAATGAACGTTTCTACGTCAAGCAAAAGAAATTCTAAAACATATGAATAATATAATTTACAAATAATATTGATAAGAATGGACTTTTACATCAAATGATGTACTATCACATAATATGAACATAGGCATTTTTATTAATATTATTTTTAATCATGTCTAGATTTTCTTAATTTAGTAAACTTGACAAATCTATAATAACTTAATTTTAAAACTATTATTAAATATTATTGAAATGGCACCTTAATTCCCACATATCAAAATATTAATATCGTATACTTCTATCTTGCATTTATTCATACATAAGAACTTTGCGTTATAATATACTTACAATTCCATAACCAGATACACCTTATGCTTATCCTCAAAAGTTTCCAATAGCTGCACAATATTTGGATGCGTTAACCTGAAAATAGTAGCATGCAGAAAATCAATTTTTCGTTAAGTTGACGTTTATAAATAAATCCCTTTATATCGTTAATTTGAATTAATGAAAATTACATGTAGTAATGCGAGTTGAACTATCATGATGACTACCTTAATCATTAATATTAAAATTGATTTATAATTGACGAAAATTACTTTTATATAATAATAGTACATTATTGGTTATCATTTATGTAAGAAATATATGTAAGACTATACAGAATGTTTCAATTTTAAGTTATTACGTGTTAAAATAAGTGTATTCGGTATACACAAAAATATAAAATAATATAGATAAAATAAATCATTCAAGAGATTGATTACATTTACTACATTTAATGTTAAGGAATTGCAATACAAATGGTGTTAGTTTTATTTCATTTTTCTGCAACTATAATTATTTAAAACAAGTCGATACGAAAAGAACTTCATCACAATAATAATAACAAATATCGTAATAAAAACATGGAGGTTTATCTTGTTCCTGTCTATATTCGTATTTAATGTATATTCAGTTCTTCTCAGATGTGACTAACATCTCCATCATCACCATCATCTTTACATGGTCGCAATTTTACAATCGCTGGATTTGGAAACTTGTAGGTGAAATGTAGATGCATTACGATGTCTTGGCTAATTGTATTTTTATATTTTTATATAAGGGCACGCTTTAGTGCCCTTTTTATTAAAGATAACTGTGACTGTCAAATGATTTTAGTTGATGATAATAAGATTATCGTAAATTGGAGAATAGATAATGAGGAAGTTGTTTAGAGAAATTTGACAAATTTAGAGAAATTAAATGCTTAACTTTAAGGCCAGAGCAATTGTAAAATTATTATTTGTCAGGTTTACAGGTAAAGTCCTTATCATTTTCTTATTGAAATGATAATCTTGATTTAATGGCGGAAGGAAACTACCCAGTTATTACTATTTGTACACAACTACTTAAGAGCGGATAGTTTTATAATTAAGTTTACGTATTTTATTGATTTATATTTAATTTATTTAAAATATAATTTTCATTTCGTTCAATTTTTCGTCGTTGTAATGACAAGTTTTATTAATATATGATCTTATCTATCTGATCTATCTTCATTTTTTTTTTAATTTTTGAAGTACATTACGTATTTTATAATACAGATTCGAATTATATAGTTTTTTTTTTTAATAAAACATGAAAATAGTAATATATACCTGTATCAACGTATTATTATTATTATTATTTACGATAAATTAAAATAAAGAAATTAAAAGTAATTATAAACTTAAATATACTTAAATATAAACTTAAATACAAGAATTACTTAAAAATACTGTTTACAGTAAAGATAAGTTTTATTTATAGAAATCTTGAAATATATTTACAAATTAGCGATTATACAGCATAGAATCCTGCTAAGGAAATGAAGCAATAAAACGAAGTTTTAAGTACGAGATAATATCAAGTTTTAATGACATTGTAATTTTCTTTTATAGGCACGCGCACCAAAATTAATTATAATTGTTAGTTTACTTGTATTACCAATTTTTTATTTTATGATGAAAAATATTAATTTTTTATATCAAGATAATTTCTTTAATTAAAAAAATAGTAATTTAAAGATATATATATATATGTAAATATAAAATATAAATAAAATATAAAATATAAAAAAATATAAATGTTAATGAATTATAAAGAATAATAAATTAGATATAAATATTTTATGATACATATCGCAGGAAAAAAATAAAATTAAATGAAAAGTGAAAATTAAATAGATTTAAAGAATTAAATAGATCTCATTAGAAATACTAATATTGTAACGTTTATTTATTTGTATATAAAATTAATATTTATAACTTTTTAATATTTATATTTTGTTATAGTTTATGACAAAAATATGGTAAATAACTATTTCACAGTGTGCACTAGGTCCTTTTTTTATTTAGATGAAATATACAAGATAAGATAAGACTATATAAAAGTGGTGTAACTTTAATATAAATCGTCGAGATATTTACTTTTTATTGGATCATAGTTATTGTTTGAGTATCTAATAATAATTAATATATTATATATATAAATAATTTATATATATCATAGGTTTATTTAACCAAAAAATAAAAAATCTTCGAATTTCTTTATTTTATTAGTAAACTTCAAAAGAAAGGGTGTACGTGTCTGTATGGAAAAAGGAAGAGAGGGAGATATTTATAAATAACAAATCATATTTTCTAAATTTCTCGCATTCTAGATTTCATGAATGCCATAATTCTAAAAAAGAGTGGGTTACGATAGGTTTAAGAAAATTTGCCGAAACAATGCAACATACGCTCATGAGGCAAAATTTGAAGTGTACGGGAAGTGAGCAAATTAGTAGTCGTAGTAAAAAAGCGTAATTTTCTCGTATCCGAGGTCGACGTCGAGGACGCTGCGCATTTCATTGTCAAGGATACCGTAGGGCTGTTTCCGTTTGCATGAGATTCGGTTCCTCATACCTACCGCTTCTCCGTTGCTAACTTAGTTCCGGAGGTCGATCGTCACAGGTGGACACGTCGTGAACTTGAAAAGCAGCCGCCCCAAGGATATGCACGCGATTTTGCTGCACGCGCGCCCTTCCTTACCGACGCCCCCGCATGCTTATTTCAATGCAGAATGCGTTTAAGCACGTAGAACCGATAAACCTCGTAAACTCGCCTACGCTTCTTCGTTGATAATCGCTTTACGTGAAACACACTTTTAATTGTAAGAACTGTTCAACATAAAGTCTCGCTTTACAATCTGTATTCTATCGTTCACGCTCGTACAATTGAGTTGTACTCCTTTTTCCGTAAACTTAATTTATAATATAGTTTCAATCTTTCTACCCGGAATCTATCCTTCCAAAATCCATTCTCGATTTTATCAGTAAGGTAAAATAACAGCTGGCACGCGACGAACATTGGTAAAATCAATTTCCCACCCCTATTAGTCGGTAAGAACGAGGTGACATTACATTGCATACCTATTGACGCATGTGCTCATACAATTAGTTACGAATTACTGACAAATAGGAATGAGTGGTTGTGTACTACAGGTGGATGAATGAGTTAAGGACACGGAACTTATGTTTCGTAGAGACATTTAGGTCCTCAAGTATAATTTACTTCACTACTATGAAAGCGATCGAATTAATATTTCATATGTGCAGAAATACACTTAACTTATATTTCATGATAATTTTACGTTGAAACTAAGCAATCGAAACACCATCGTGAAGGTCAAAAACAGCCTAATGTAAAACGATATAACGTGGCTTAATTAACGTGAATCGATAGTTTTACTTACTTTTTATTCGCGTTCAACGTTATTTTCAAACGTTAACGATATCCTCTGCGTCTTTCGTTGCACTGACTTTAAAAATTGAAAGTATTATAAAATCACACCGCGACTATTCATTCTATTGTGCCGCTTAAAGTAATTTTTTAAAGTCTATGATATGAAAATTGTGGCATTAAGAAATTAATAAAAACTTCTCAATAATTAAAAGCAGTAATAAAGCCGCATTCTCGAGCATCTTCAAATTTCTTACTAATATATAGCTATACAATTTTCACTAGTTTGTCAAGGACAAGGAATTAGTTTCTTACTGTCAATGAAATATTGTCGCGAATGACATTTTTTGGCGTATTTCATTATTATAAATATTGTAATAATACACTACACTGGTTTTGAAATTATAAATTAAATCCAAAAATTTTTCATATTGTTAAATTGGTTGTTTTATTAACGCAAGTAACAAATTCGTAAGAGTGTGAATGTAATAATAATTAAATTATATATTAGAGATCGTTTTAATTAATATTGAATAACAAATAATAATAGTTATTAACTTCATTTTTAATATCATATCATTGACTCCTCCTGAAATATAAAAAATTTATTGAAAAAATTTAATTTGAAAAATCTATAGTTCAATGATTTATTTCGATAATAATATGATCTACAGTGAGAATTATTTTTATTTTTGCTTTTATAATTTACAAAATTGAATAAATTGCAAAATAAGATTTTAGTCAACTTTATGGAACCGTGCTTGTTCTTAAAGTCATACTTTACATATGCTGGATATAAAATAATTTCGTCTTGCATAATTTTATATAAATAATATCTCGGACTTTAAATACGATTCTACGTAAGTATTGGGCAAGTAAAATAAGATAGAGAAATTACAAAAAATGTTTAACTTTTATATTTCAGAATGAAAGATGAAATCGATTGTGAATTATTTATAAAATAAATTGCAATCTTATTTATACCCATTTCCATCCTTATTTAATCTCTATAAATAAAATTTCTAATAAGAAGAAATAAGAGTCATAATAAATCGTATTGATATGTCATGAGCATGTTGAATGATATATAAATTATTATTTCAAATTATTTTAAAATATCAATCATATCAAATATCAATATACGCAGAATTCGTATTGTCTTACTATATTGTTCGAATCGTATAGCAAAATCGTCTCGTTACATTATATTTTTCTTATTCGTGCGAAGGAATATTTGTTAAAAATGCTTCTCATCAAAAAAGTTAAAATAATATATGGCTGGACGTGCGTCACTTATTCTTAATTTGCACGGGGTAGTTATGAATCTGTTTCACTGTGTTTGGGACGCGTCTCGAAGGACTGTAAAGTAACATTTATTCTTATGGTTTTTTGAAATACACGAACATTAAATGCTGTAGCATGATTGTACAATAGTAGGATAATACAATTCAATTAATTTTTGTATAAGTACATTTGACATTTAGCATGCTCTATGCCAGGGTATAAAATATGGCTTATATTTTGCAGACACATATCTGTTGTTCTATAAAGCTTTATTTTTTATGTACTGCCTTAGCATGATAAAATACTTAAACGATACAAATCGTTTATAGTCGACAGGCTTGTGTGTGTATATATATATATATATATATATATATATATATATATATATATATATAT